TGCACCCCCCGGTTATCGAGTAGATACGCTTATTGTCTTGTGGGATAGATGTCTGCTTGCGGCAGGTGGCTGATTCGCCTTCGGTACCTACCTATTTACCTATTGCCTAGGTACCTAAATAGTGTCCCATGCTTGTTGGTAGGTTGGTGGGGTGAGACTCCGTCAACCCAGGCGTGCCAGGGCTCTGCAAGTAAGGGGGTAATAAGGCATTGCATGTGCGAATGAATTGGATCAGTTATGACCCCTCACATCACAAACCAGCCCCGCACGACCCTTATCGCTGGTTAAGTATTGTGAGCCCGATGCCTATGAGCATCAGCTCCAGTGCCTTGAAGTGCCTCGACACATACCTTAACGCAAAAGTATGGTTACTGGCCAAATCGGTATTTCCCACGTTTATGGTTACCCGCCTATTATCACCTACCTTACCCACAAGTTGTGACGCTTTTGTTTTCTCATAGGGCCACTTCGCTTCGTTACCTTCCTCGACACGAGGTATACCTAGGCAATCTACCCTGACTTACCTTAAGGTAGGTAGGTATCTGATTTGAGCAACGGGGAACGGCGAGCTCCATTGTGTCTCCTGGCACACTCGTTTCGTTCACCCCCTTAAACCCTTGTGGCTTCCCGCGAAGACCTGGCCAAAAGGTACTTTATATCGATCCATTGGAGGCTTTCCTGGCCCGCTGCCCTATTTTCATCTTCCTACCTTAAGGTAGTTTCTGGATTTTCCAAACCCCAGAGCCCGTCTTACCTACCTCCTCCTTCTACTCTCAAGATCCCAGCCAAGCCATCCTTGGACAAAATCCATTGCGAACCCCTCCCACTTCGTCCGGTACCGGTACCTCACTTGCATTCCTCCTTACCATCCTATCGCCAGCCTTTCGCTCAAGTAAATCTTGGTCAAATACCGCAGTCACTTTTCTTCAGAAATGGCAACTCAAGATTCAAAGTCCGCCAGCGGCAGCGGACCTACTCAGTGTGTCGGTCCGTTGTATCGTTCAGAAAGTCAGAAGCCCACGGCCACTGTCTCGACTGAAATCAAGTTAGACAACGTTGTTGTCTTGTCCCAGACGCCTCAACTTATCGCCCTTCTCACGTAAGCTTCCTAGTGTTCATCCTACCCCTCGTAACACCCAGTAGAATATAATGAGGCACCGGCCCTACGCAGAGACGTGACTAAAGAAACACCTCTTTGAGTGGTACCTTTGGCTTACTGATCTCCGGCAGCATCATTCGAGACAAGAACACGGAGCGCGGTGACTTCATTTTCTACTCCAACCGCATCATTCGCCTGCTCGTGGAGGAAGGTCTGAACCATTTGCCTACCGTTGAGCATGACGTGACAACACCCATTGGTCGGACTTACTCTGGGCTTATGTTCCAAGGCAAGATCTGCGGCGTATCCATCATGCGTGCCGGCGAGGCCATGGAGCAAGGTTTACGCGACTGCTGCCGCTCTGTCAGAATCGGCAAGATTTTGATCCAGCGCGATGAGGAGACTGCTCAGCCGAAGCTATTCTACGACAAGCTGCCAGAGGATATCGCCCAGCGCTGGGTTCTTCTTTTGGATCCCATGTTTGCCACTGGTGGTTCCGCCATCATGGCAGTCCAGGTCCTCAAGGCTCGTGGTGTTCCCGAGGACCGCATTCTGTTCCTGAACCTCATTGCGAGCCCTGAGGGTATCCAGAACTTTACCGCAAAGTTCCCCAAATTGAGAGTTGTCACGGCATTTGTCGACCAGGTATGTACAAGCCGGCCCCAGCTCACCTCGGATCACACAGTCTAATAATTGTTTTGCTCTAGGGTCTGGACGAAAAGAAGTAAGTTCGCATCCTGCGATGCCAAGAAGCCTCTGTCATACTAATGGGCTGTGATAGCTACATCATCCCCGGCCTCGGCGATTTTGGGGACAGGTTCTACACTGTTTGAGTGTGGCTGTATATCCTGAAAGCCAACTTTATATGGCATTGGTCTCCGGCTTGGGTTTCTTCTGCACTACTGTCCTTGTCCCCGTGTGTTGCAGACCTTAGGCTGCATTCATTGACAATGCACCTCCTCGTGTACGTTCAAGAGGTTGCTAGTTCATCTAGTATTCATCATCATCCATGTCGATACCCTCACCCCCGTATCTCCTATCGTCGTCGTCATCGTCTACTGGCCGGCTCGTGGGGGGGCGCCGAGCGCTCGAGGTCTTGTGATTGCTTCCGCCGACGGGTCCTGCTTCCTTGGCAACAGCATCTGCGGACATGTGTCAAATGCATGTTCTCAAGGCGATTGCAACAGCGATTAAGGTATTAAACATGTACTTACCTGCAGCGTCCACCCACTCTCCATAAACGTCCACGGCGGCCGAAAGGTCTAACAGGGGTTTAGCAGTTGGGAAGGGGGAGACGAAAGCAGTTGCAAGAATAGAGCCTCACAATTGATACTACACTGGAACATCTGACCGCATACTCTGCAGTCCAACGAACCAACACCCGCTTTCTTATCCAGCTTTACAGCGACGGAGTCTTCGTGGTTGCAGAAGAGGCACGTGAACTTGGAGGGAAGAACCTCTCTCTGTGAGTTGGCGTCAATAACTGCGTCGCCAGCATACAAGCAACCTGCACCAGCCCTCAAGCGGAGGAAGCAAACGAACCTTTTTCGGGCCTTGAGGTTTGCTCGAACTTTTGCGCTTCCCCATGATGCTGAGTGACGATGAATGATATGCGCGACCGGCGCGTAGAATATAGAAGGGAGCGAGAGGGTGTGTCGGAGAATAGCAGGTTGCGCAGTTCGTTGTTGTCCGCGTTCGTGTGCGATTGCAAGCGCAGGGTACGTCACAGGCTGGAACAGACGTGGAAGAAAAGCAATAAGATAGGCGTTTGAGAGATGGCTCAGCGGCGGGTGGTGAATGAGGCTAAAATTCCAGCACATGCAACGGATGCGACGGTGGAATGCGCGACGGCGACATGTATTTTGCGGGTGGACAGCCCTTGGCCGAGGCGGCGTGGGCGCAAGGTGCACTGGTGCCGCAGTCACGGTGGACCAGAAAGCTCTACTGGAGCAGAAGGTACCTTACTTGCTTGGCTGCCTTACCTACCTTACCTTTCAATATGTACCTTATCTATCGGAGGCTGGCAGCGGGGTGACTAAGGTACCTAGGTGCTCTGCACGCACCTCAAGGTAGGTAAGTACCTAAGCGCGTAATCGATAAGATACTTAACCTACCTAGGTGGAAAGCATGGCACATCCCACCCCGCCCTAACCTTGAGGTAAAGTAATGGAAGGTAAGGTATATAGGTACTATCCGTATATTGCCCATCTACCGTACCCCGTACCTACCTTCCATAGGATCAGAGGAACGATATCGGAGTCCGGCACTTGATGCACAAGCTAGAGCGGCTCATAGCCGTCCCATATGTCACCTGCACAATTATCAGATTCAAACATACCTACACCTCACGCATTGCATCCTACATGTTGTGTTCTGAGCTACACAACAAGCCATTGTTATTGTTAAGACGTAAGGCACGTAAGACACCAGGCATCTTCGATCTAGATACCCTGGCGAGTGAGGGGTTGCGGAAGGGTGTCACTTAAGGTAAAGCCTGCTAAACCTTACCTCATGCATTCATTGCCTTCAATCGTACCTGTCTTATGACAATGCCCTCTCCGAGGATCTTGAGTAACTGCTCACCTCAGACGCCTTTGTGCTTTCCTGATGGATGTTAAGGTAAGGTAAGGTATCAATACCGCTAGGTCCTTCGGTCGCCTTATCTTTGGCGCTCGAAGCCGCATCAAGCTGTCTTCCTCCTCCACCGAGTCCTTGTCTGCCCTGGGTGTTTGGGAAGGTCGCGGACGGCCCCGCAACCCGAGAACTCAGGTGGGCGCCGCCGCCGCATCACCATAGGTCCACACACACCCAGTCTTTACATACCTTATCGTAGACCTCCCCACAAGCAATGATGCTTATCACTAAGGTAGCAACGCTGAGCATAAGGTACCTAGGTAGAGTCTACCTTACCTACCTGCTTTACCTACTACGTAGCAGAACTCCACGTCTTCACTTTGAGGTAAGGTAAGCTGGACAACTACTCAGTACCCAACATTGCACTGTATGTCATGCACGAGTCTGCTTCTATGCCTTGTACTTAGGTTGCTCCTCGCTCAGGATGTGTTATGTAAGCGTATCCTGTAAGGTCGGTTGGCGGGGGAGGGTGCAGGTGCCCGCATGCCTAGGTACCCTTTCCTCCAGGTAGGTGCCTTATGGTAAGGAAGGTAAGCACCCCAACCCCCATCCCCAGCCCGAACGTCCGTGAGACTCGAAAGCCCATGTACCGCATCACCTGCTACCCACGGATAAGAAGAGTCGGGCACGGTAGTGGGTACTTGCCCCTCCCCGTCCGGCCAGCTCAATGTTCACGCGCGGCGCCTTCCGATGGGGTCACGAGATCGCCCTCGGGGCGTCGACCGTCTCTCCTTTGTGCATCTCTATCTTCTCTCATGCTGTTTACTACATAGCCCTCACTGCTGGCTTCGATATAGTCATCATCCTCGTCCCTCATCCTTGGCTCTCCAGTGGACCAGCCATCGGTAGTCACCGACTTACCTTTGCATGCCTTGCCTCTCAAGAGATAGCTGTCCCCATGTGCTCCTTACCTTCCACAGTATACTCTAGCTTTGTCTTACTTGGACTCGCCTCCTATTAAACTTCATTTCGTCCAGCTTCCTTTCCACGTCTCCCGTCTCTTCATCCTCTCCTCCTCTTCCTCTTCCTCCTCCTCTTCCTCCTCCTCTTCCTCTTCCTCCTCCTTCTCCTCCTACTTCCACCTAGTCTCCGGTCAGAATCCCCGTCCCTCCTGCTCAATCTTCCCTCGTGAAGCATCCCAGCAATTTGTCTACGGTCTCTCACACTCCAACACAGCGCATTTTTGAAAGACGCGGGCGACCTTCTCACAAGACTTCTCTCTTTGTGTCTTCTGCCGTTGTAGTGTGACAACTAGAAATTGATCGTCATGAGCCACCCTACCGTTGACGATGGCTCTTTGGCCGAAGTCATAAACTCCTTGAAATCCATCCAGCAGACTCAGTCTGACCTTGTGGCTGCTGTCGACTTGCTGAACCAACGATACCAACAGCTGCCTGTTGATTCTGATGCAGCCACACTCGATCCGAATCCATCCCTCAGCGAGATCCCTGAAAGATCTCGAACCCCCGAGCCTTCCGATGCCGTTGGTGAATCTGCCAAGAGCTCTTCGTCCGATTTGACCTTGCAGGCCCCAGCTTTGCCCTCGTCACCCAGCCAGCGATCCGGCCTCACTTCCCGCATCATCCTAACGTACGTTTCCAGCTCCTATGGTGCACCGCTTGCCGCCTGTCACCATGGCAGATCTTTCTCTGACCGATGCTCTCATTCTAGGACTTATCCAAAGCAGATCGGCATCAACCCTCTCCCCATGAATTGGGGCGAATCGGACCCCCATCGTCGTGGGCCAGTTGTTGTTTCTCGTTCATCTACCACTATTGGAAGACGTAACGGTCCGTAGGCCCGGCCCCCTTACTTACGCGTAACAAGCAATATTAGCTGACACTTTTGTCTATTCTCAAGCTGTCGGAGGTCAGTAACATACCTTTACCTGTCTACTAAGTTGTCTTGAACTGACAGTGTTTACAGCCCAGTGAGTGACCCATTCATGGAATACTCTTTTGGCCATCTCAAAGGGAAGAATATGAATTGTTGCGGAACAGAATAGCTGACAGTGGACTCGCAGCGGTGGTTCTTACTCCATCTACTATGCCCTGGCTGTTGCCAGCAAGCAACTTAATCTCGAGCATAGGTGAGCCGTTTTGTCGCCAAAACCAGTATGTGGACTCATTGATTCTAGACCCGACTTCACCAACACGGAGCCGGCTGCTAAGATTGGCCCCTTCCCTCAATGGGGAGATCCCAAGAAGATCGTCGCCATGGATCCCTGGGGCCATCTGTCTCCCTGGCTCTTCAAGGACACTATCGAGAAGCACAACGGTGAGTAGATACATTAAGCCTGCACCTTTTACAGCATGAGATCTTGGACTGAATCGCCATAGTCGACATTCGCCCAACCATCGCCATCACTAAGGCACATATGAAGGTACCGTTGCGCCTACTGGAGTGATATTACGTCCCCTGACAATGTTTAGCTTCCCGAGCTGGAGGAGAGTGTCAAGAGTGGAAGACTGTGAGTGAAGCCATGACCAGGAGACGGTGAGCGTCGTTGTAGGGGCTGACTGGCTAGTGTTCCTGACGGCAAAGTCTGCTTGAACGAGCTTGGAGAGCTGGCCGTAACCAAGTTCGCCGTCGAGCCGGTATGTCAGCTTCCCAGCTACTGATTCAGATTGTTTGCTGACGCTCTTCGCACAGGTTTGGTATCTCCCCGGCGTAGCTGAAAGATTCGGCATCGGTTCGTCAGGCTACAACCATCTGGGAATCTATCAGCAGCTAATTGCAAACAGATGAGGGGGCCTTGCGAAGGTCTCTTTTCGAACACACTGGTGGCAGCTACCCCGAGGTAGATGGCCCCTGTTACCTCATAGACACACACGCTGACCATTTGTCATAGTTGATTACCCGCAACGATATTAAAGTGTTTCTGCCCCCCATAGGTAATAGCACCCAGGCTTCGAGCAAGAGGATGAACTGACAATGTGTATCATGTAGGTGGTCTGACAGTATACTGTTTCGGCGACCCGGCCAAAATGTCCGACGAGTCAGTACGACTGGCATTGCGAATCCACGATGAGGTTTGTCGTCTCACTGCTACGGGTAGTTTTGCAATTAACCGTAACGTAGTGCAATGGTAGCGACGTTTTTGGATCCGATATCTGCACATGTCGCCCTTATCTCATATTCGGCATCGAAGAGGCAGTCAAGGAGGCGCAGAATGGCGGGAGTGGTGTCGTTATTTACTTCCGAAAAGAGGGCAGAGCCCTCGGTGAAGTGACCAAGGTGAGCAATGCCGAGTTCCAAGATTGATTGTGCATGAGTTGATGACAGTTATATAGTATCGTACGTACTCTCTTGCTTGTTTGGCATCAGAGCCTTGCTCATGTGAAGACTACACGCGGGCGACCGAGGCTGCACGTTTCATGATAGGCTGCTAACTGACCACGAAGTCGTGTACAACGCTCGTAAGCGCGGAGAAGACCGAGCATCGGACTACTTTAAGAGGACAGAGAACATTGCTGGAGTGAAGGATATGCGATTCCAGGCTCTCATGCCCGATATCCTGCACTGGCTCGGAATCCGCAAGATCGACAGAATGCTGAGCATGAGCAAGTCAGTAGCTCCTCCCCATCCGAGATACCATGACGCTAACGTGAACCACAACAGCATGAAACATGATGCCATTGTAGGACAAGGGTAATGGCGATTTTTTTACGTGTCAGTATTTCAGATCTTGCTGACAATTTCTCTAGAATTCCCATTCACGAGCGTGTCGAGCTCCCCGAGGAGTGGATTCCCGCAGATTCTCGCGTCGAGATTGATGCAAAGATTACTGCAGGTATGCAAGTGAGAAGGGGAGCGTGGCCCGCTGTCAGTGACTGATGAGTTGCTATAGGATACTTCACCGCCGGAAAGCGCATGACCGAAGAAGAGTTAAGAGCTGTGCAGGGCAGGATGTGGGAAGAGTAAGTCTACCTGCTTTCCCCGCGTTGCAGGCATCGTGTATCACTGACCAAATCCTTCCTTACTTCACAGTCTCGACCATTAGCTCCTGCAGAGATGGCATTCGCTAGTAGGAGGGGCAAGTAAAGGCAGCATCGCCAACTTCAGGTGATCACGCACGTGGTTGTGATACTTGGCCCAAATGATGGATGAAAAGGCATCGGTGAGAACCGATGAAGCTCCTATACAAGTCGGTGCAGTGTTGGCCTCTGCATGGAACACCTGCACCATTGCCGACAGCAGTGGCTTGATAGAACATGCAGTATAATCCATGTGTGGTATGCCTACCGCATGCCAGTCTTGGACCGGTAGATGGGAGCCAGGTGAGGAGTGGAAATCCGGATGGATGGCACTTTGGCCAGCTGGTAATATTTGAAGCCAAACTGCATGTATCTAGACAGATGCGACGCTTGTGGTCAGAAACCAACCCCGCGCCCAGTGAGATAGCTTGCCTGCGTTGAATTGACTTGTCCAGCAATAATGCAAGGGTAACCGAACCAGCTGCAACATATGTAATGATTACACAGAGCCGCGAGAGTCTACCAGTGTCCAGAGGCGACGATCGGCCGTGATGGTCGCACCACTCGGCTGCGAAGAAACCAGGCTGGGGTATGGATAGGACCGACCTTGTCTGTGGGCTGACCGGGGGTGTTCCGATGCAGAATCCTTTGGTGTACGGATATACTACCGTGACTACTTACATGTTAACTTACAGTTGTGCAGTATGAGGTACGGAGTACAACGGCTCGAGCAGTGTAGCATGTCCTTGACCGGTCTGGAAATGTCATAGCCATGGGCGGTCTTGATTGGGTTCGACTGAGCGGGACCTCATGGGAAATGGTCAACGAAGCGGTTGGCAACCCCACAATGGCTGCAGGCGTGACGCCGGCCATGCATGGCCTTTGCGTATAAGTGCCCAAACAGACGCTCACCGACCCATACAACACCAGACACATAGTTGGGAGCCGGTTCCCCATCAGGCACCGGCCATGTGGTCCAATGATGGGACGCTGGTACTGTCAGCGGAAAACCGTCGACCGGGCTCGCCCGTCCCCAAGGAACCGACATTCCCGCCGAGTAGCCGGAGGTGATGGCTTGTTGTTAACGCGCACGACGCCCACTTGATGAGGGGCGCAACATAGCAATCATGGTTCCTTACCATCCCAGAGCTGTTGCATTCTTGCAAATTCGATCGCCGCCGTGCCATTATCGGTCTCACCCAGACTTGTGCCAGGATATTTGTTCAACGCGATGGCGACCGTTTCCCGGGACCTTCGGGACACGGACGGTGTGCGGAGGAGAGAGGCATCACCTCGGCCGGACCGTCGACGTCGACCAAGGCTCCTACGAGCCAGCGCGACGGAACCTACCATCACAACGACATCCAATGCCAGCCGTGGCGCCATTTCGAGCCCGCAATCGTCTCAAAGGGCCACCGAACTCCTCAGCCGCGTTGCCGTATGTTCGGGTCATGCTCCCGAATACTCACCGACGTCGGTGGCCGCTCCCCATATGGCGTCGCTCAGCGCCGAAGACATGACCATTCCAACTACAAATCGAGTCCAGGGCCATCGAGAACACCTATCTTGTTCGTAGACTGCCACGATACCAGCATCCGACGATCAAATTACTGATACCAGTGTGGCCAGACTCGAACGGCTATTTCAGCTTTCCAAACTTTGATGCGTGGGATGGAGAACGGCACAGTGATGACAAGGAAGAGGACGTATGAAACGGAGAATTGTCGTGATCAGTCGACATGAAGGGACTTCCCTGAGGGGGTCCAATGCTGTTACTGGGAGTTTCAGCACACAATAAGCGTTCTACGTGAATACAGAACAAGGCGAAGAAACAAGAGACACCGGCCTAGAGACGTTTTGCTCCCAGCTGGTATTCGAGCAAGGAGGAAGCAAGAACGAGAGGAGGAGAGACGGCGCGAAGAAATAAGAAATAGCCCGGACAACGGTACGGAATGGTCGATCTGAAAGCATCGACGTTGATGAGACTCAAATATGGTTCGTTCTAGCGCCAGGGCGTTGATTTTGGGTCGGAATCGTTTGAGGAGTTACGCATCTTTCCTCTGAGAGACGCGAAAGCCGCGTTGTTCGTTCAATGGCGTTGTGGGATTTTGTAGGATATCCAGCTTTCCGAGGCGGTTCTAGGTGTGATGCCCGTACGTATGTCACAAACCGGACGCAAAAAATAAGAGTGTACATAGGTTTACACGGGTGGTAAGAATGTATGCGTAAAGTAAAGATACACTGCCAGCCTCGTATTGTCATGCTTGTTCACGGACAGACCTGAATGAGTGTAAATCTCGGTAAGGCGGGAGACCCGTTCACCGATCACCACAATGTGGAGGCACAGGGCATCACACCCACCTCACCTTGCCCCAAAGGCGGGGCAAAGTTCCAACAGTTTGTACCTGTAAGGCCTTCCATCTTGACTAGGGGGCCGGAGTATTGTGATGACATGTCACTGGCCAAAGTGGCCTTGAAAAGTCAACCAATTGGAGGCACTGGATGAAAAGTTGCAGAGACACTGACGTCTCAGAAGTGGAACTCTTGGGGCTGGCTTCAGCGCCAAAGAATTGTGAAAAAGTGCACATCACGTGATATACGGTGCTAAATATGGATTCGATAGCTGATTACTGTGCTTCTCGCTGACGAGGTCCACGAGGTGCTTGCCCTGGCGTGGTCGGGGCAGGGGCATGCACAGTGCACCATGCTGGAAAAAAAACCCGGATTACATAATTCGAACGGGGCACACTCGCTAAGAATTTCGAGCCACACATTCTCGCATCTTGAATTTTATCACCAGCGAAACCACCACCCCTCCAAACCTTTCAACTACTCAACGTTCATCCGCCAGACAATTAACAGCCGCCCAAAATGGCTGTGGGAAAGTGAGAATAACCACCTCTGGACGAATTGACGACGATATGCCGCCGACCGCAATCGTCGTCGCCCAGGCGCAGGCCGTAAACAGCAGCTAACCAGTTTTTCCCTCGCAGGAACAAGAGATTGTCCAAGGGCAAGAAGGGTCTCAAGAAGAAGACCGTGGACCCCTTCTCCCGCAAGGACTGGTACCAGATCAAGGTATGTGTTTTGCCGCTGTGCGAAATAAGTCTCGATGCCATTTTTTTGCAGTATGCTGACTGGTTTTTTTCTTCTCTCCCACAGGCCCCCGCGCCTTTCAACGTTCGCGAGTGAGTTCTCAGCCCAAACCCGACGTGGATCACGATTCGACATCCAGCCATTGTCGACAGCCGAGCGCGAGAAGGAATTGAGCCATCGGGTGGGTGCTGACTGCGCGTGTCTTTTAGTGTCGGCAAGACCCTGGTCAACAGAACCACCGGTCTCAAGAACGCCAACGACGCCTTGAAGGGCCGCATTCTGGAGGTCTCTCTGGCTGATCTCCAGAAGGATGAGGATCACGCTTTCCGCAAGGTTAAGCTCCGTGTCGACGAGGTCCAGGGCAAGAACTGCCTGACCAACTTCCACGGCCTCGACTTCACCTCCGACAAGCTCCGTTCCCTCGTCCGCAAGTGGCAGACTCTCATTGAGGCCAACGTCACCGTCAAGACCACCGACGACTACCTCCTCCGCCTCTTCGCCATTGCTTTCACCAAGCGCCGCCCCAACCAGATCAAGAAGACCACATATGCTGCCTCTTCGCAAATCCGTGCCATCCGTCGCAAGATGACTGAGATCATCCAGCGCGAGGCCTCTACCTGCACTCTCACCCAGCTGACCTCCAAGCTCATCCCCGAGGTCATCGGCCGTGAGATCGAGAAGTCTACCCAGGGCATCTACCCCCTGCAGAACGTAAGCACTTTCTTACTGGTGCCACTGGCCCAGTGACTAAATGGTACTAACAACCATCCCAGGTCCACATCCGTAAGGTCAAGCTTCTCAAGCAGCCCAAGTTCGATCTCGGTGCCCTCATGGGTCTCCACGGCGAGTCTGGCACCGACGACCAGGGACAGAAGGTTGAGCGGGAGTTCAAGGAGCGCGTTCTTGAGGAGGTTTAAAGGAATCAGGCCCTGCATGATGGATGCTCCGGCAGAAGGGGACTCTGGCTCTACCGGCCGGGAAACAAATCCGGCATTGTTTTAGGTCGTTGCACATGGCGTAGCATATAAGGCGGCTGCGGGTCTAGGGTACCTCAAAATGGTAAATGGTCAATTCTTCAAAGACACTCTGCAATGTGTGTATGCAGCCTGGCTGCGAGTTGTCTAGCACAGGTGGGAAATGCGAGGCTGCTTCCCTCACGGGATTCTCGCGCTCCAGCTCAAGCACCGCTGGTGGCCTGGCCATCACGACTTGGCTCATATCCCCTCACTCGTAAAGAACACGACCTACGGGGGCCGCCTGACCAATCCTCAGTGCCGTGGCGTACGAAAAGTCCCTTGTGGGATTGAGTCTATAGCAAGTCTATGTGGCCCGAAACATTTGCCTAGTCAAAATGCATTCCCTTAACCACACTCGCCTATTATGTCTAATAGTTTGCAGAGGGATGAGTGAGACGACTACAGCAGCCTACTTCCCAGGATCCTTTAGTCTTGGTTCTTTAGGAACTCAACGACCGCTACCGAGGAGTGATCAGTATTGTGACTATTTCTTTAAGATAAAGTGCTTGTGTACCTTGACGAAACTCCTCAGGTTTCTCCGAAATGCACCAGTGCCCGGCATCAAGATCTACTAGTCGAAACTTGGGGAAAAATTGCCCAACCGTCGGCAGGACGTCATCAGGCACGTACTTGCTTTTGGTTCCCCGAACAAATAGGGCAGGCTTTTCGAAGCGAGTCTTCGTCGGGTCCTTGAATGGGAAATCGCCCATGTGGATTAAGGACCGACTGATGATGTCGAGGGGCACCCGGAACTTTTGCTGCGGCTTGCCAGCCTCTGGCCGATACAAATTACCCAGAAGAAACTGGCGAATAGGAAGAGACTGCAGCACAATGGTGAGCATGATTGATCGAGATTGATCGAGCAAACCCTCTGAGAGTAAAGTGGAATAATCTCACGTCCTCGTAATCCTTCAGGATTTCGTCTGCTTCAGCCTGCTTCGTGATGTTCGCTGCTTCAATTCTCTTCAAACCCTGGATGTACTTGCTAAATGAGCTCTCCAAGACAGCATCGACAGGCGCATTGTCAACCGCTATGATATCTTGCACGAGTTCGGGTGACTTCAGAGCAAGGGTCATGGCAGCCTTGGCTCCCCTAGGAATAGTTCATCTCATTCAGCATGCAGCAGCGTAACGCCCTCGCAGATACGACTCACATCGAGTGGCCGATGACTGAGGGCAGCGTCAGTCCATGCTGGTCAATGAATGCAGCAACGTCGTCCGCCATATGGACATAGTCGTGCTGCTTCGCGTGAGGCGATTCGCCATGGTTGCGTAGATCCTAGTCAAAATCTCAGTGAAAACCCTTCCGAAGTGCTTGCGGATGCAGTCTGTGAATCTTACCAAGGCATACACTGGTCTGCCTAAGTCACGAGCTAGAACTCTACGTGGCGGTCAGCATGCCGTACCAGAGCCTTGCAGTCATAGATGAACTCGCTTGCTGATACTCCTGTTGTTCTTCTTGGATCCGAAGAGACCGTGAAGAAAAATGATGGGGTTGGAGGACCCGCCGACAGGTCGCTTGCTGGGCTCATGCAGGTCATAAGACAACGTCAACCTGCTTTGCGAGGAAAATGTACGCCGTGAAGTCAGGCCGATGCTGAGACTGCGCCGCATGACGACCCAGGAGAATGCCATCATGCTCCGAATCTGAGGGTTTGATAACTGTAAGTCTAACAGCCATGGGCCATATCTCCGATTTTGCGCCTACGTTGTGGGTCGTGATAGATGCTCAGTCCAGTGACAAGGAATAGAAGTGATATATAGAGGTGTCACGGAAGGGACTACGGGCAGGTTAAAATACTACTATATTGGCCTATAAACTTGGAAACTCAACGTAAAGAGGGAAAAGTAAAATAATAGGTGGAAGCTAGCGAGCTGGCCCTTTAGGCCTAGCGGTCTAGTGCGTTATATAATTATTAAAAACTTAGTTTTATAGTTTAAGGCTATATTATAGAGCTTATAAGGCCCTAATACTTATTATTATAATATTACTTTTCTATTTTATATTAAAAAGTATTATTTATGATATTAAAAAAGATTTTTATTTGTTTTTTTATTTCTATTTTTGCTGGCTACTTGGGCGATTCTCGATGTCGTTTATACGGTATTAATACACGGTATTAGTAGATACTTATACTGTCTCGCTAGACTATTTTTTTTAAATTTTCTAACTTTTTAACTTTCCCTCTTATAAAGTTCATAACTACGGATTAAGTAATAGTATATAGAGAAGTATAATAAGGACTATAAGCTATAAAAACTATAATAAACGTAAATAAACTTAAAAAGATTTATAAATAAGTTTTACTAAACCTTAAGTTTATATAATAATATATAAAAAAGAACGCGGATAAATTAAAAATTAGAGGACTATTTTTAAAAAAGGGGGATAGTACCTATTTTTTTTATTATAATATTAAAACGAAATAACTAAGTAATAAATTAAATTATAAAAAACTTAAACTTTTTAAAATTATTAAAAAAGTCTTATTAATTAATTACGAATTAAAACTATTAAATACAATACGATATTATCCCGTTTTTTATATTTTATTATTTAAACTTATATTAAAAGGTTTATATATAAAAGATTATATTAT